TACAATCTAAAATCAAAATGACGCCAAACATGTACAATGCACTTTGACGTCAACATTTGTGGAACAAGGAAAATAGTGTTACAAAAGAATTAATCTTTAGTTACATGCAAGAGTATAGCAACATTTGCTTTATTTATTCCTGCAACGATCTGTTAATCCGGGGTTTCATATATCTATTAACATTGATTCTTTTGACTATTTTTATATATAAATATATTTATATATCTTTTTTTAAAAGGGATATTTCGAAAATTGTTATTATATAATATATATAATGCTTATACAAAATTTAGTAGTAAATGTTAGAAATTTTCTGTTTTGTCCTGAAATAAAAGAATAAACGAAACCTGTATATGATGAATGAGTCGCCCTGTAGACAGTGATGGGTCGTTTATATCAGCAATAATTCCACAAACCATCCGTCACTACACATATTTGAACATCATATTCAGGTTTATGAGTATAACGATCAAAATACTAAATATTACAAAAACTGTGTGAAGAATATTTATATCAGTCCACGAAATAAAAACATCAAACACTTGTTTAATTACCTTGCATTCGTAAGTTAATGTAGGAACGATTGATAACCACTAAAGCTATAAACACAACATCACGTTGATCTGTTTTAATAAACGCCTACGTGATTAGTTGAACGTAAAGACATATATAGGTTTTGACTGTACAAATTGTAACGAGTGGTCCACAAAAGGACATTAAAGAGCTGTAAACTATAAGGTTTGAGAGTACAAAATGACCCAAGTGGTCCACAAAAGGACATTAAAGAGCTGTAAGCTATAAGGGATGAGAATACAAAATGACCCAAGTGGTCCACAAAAGGACATAAAAGATCTGTAAACTATAAGGTATGAGAATACAAAATGACCCAAGGGGTCCAAAAAAGGACATAAAAGATCTGTAAACTATAAGGTTTGGGACTACAAAATGACCCAAGCGGTCCACAAAAGGACATTAAAGAGCTGTAAGCTATAAGGTTTGAGAGCCCCCAATGACCCAAGTGGTCCGCAAAAGGACATAAAAGAGCTGTGAACTATAAGGTTTGGGAGTACAAAATGCCCCAAGTGGTCCACAAGAGGACATAAAAGAGCTGTGAACTATAAGGTTTGGGAGTACAAAATGACCCAAGTGGTCCACAAAAGGACATTAAAGAGCTGTAAGCTATAAGGTATGAGAATACAAAATGACCCAAGTGGTCCACAAAAGGACATAAAAGAGCTGTAAACTATAAGGTATGAGAGTACAAAATGACCCAAGTGGTCCACAAAAGGAAATAAAAGAGCTGTAAACTATAAGGTTTGGGAGTACAAAATGACCCGATTGGTCCACAAAAGGAAATAAAAGAGCTGTAAACTATAAGGTTTGGGAGTACAAAATGACCCAAGTGGTACACAAAAGGACATAAAAGAGCTGTAAACTATAAGGTTTGGGAGTACAAAATGACCCGATTGGTCCACAAAAGGAAATAAAAGAGCTGTAAACTATAAGGTTTGGGAGTACAAAATGACCCGAGTGGTCCACAAAAGGACATTAAAGAGCTGTAAGCTATAAGGTTTGAGAGTACAAAATGACCCAAGTGGTCCACAAAAGGACATAAAAGAGCTGTAAACTATAAGGTATGAGAGTACAAAATGACCCAAGTGGTCCACAAAAAGGACATTGAAGAGATGTAAGCTGTAAGGTTTGAGAATACAAAATGACCCGGGTTGTCCACAAAAGGACATTGAAGAGATGTAAGCTATAAGGTGTGAGAGTTCAAAATGACCCGAGTGGTTAACACAAGGATATTGAAGAGATGTAAGCTATAATAAAAATAATAATAATAATAATTCGAGGTTCTTATATACCACTTTATCACAACCTAGTTCGTGGGTCGTCTCAAAGCGGTTCACAAATTATTATCCTTGGTTATAGAGTTTTTGCAACCAGTCATTTTTTTCTTTTTCAACTCCCTGGGGAGCATACAGCCGGTGCTGCTATTTCGACGCTCACAGCTAGCATTCTACAATTCTAGCACTGCCCAACCACGTACTCATTTACAGCTGAGTATACTGGAACAAGCGGAATAAATTATCTTGCTCAAAGATACAACACAGCGCCATGACGTCACTCGAACCCGCAACCCTTCGGTCACGAGCCCGGCGTCCTACCACTTGACTGTGGTGCCTCCGATGTGTAATAGTACAAAATGACTCAAGCGGTCCACATAGACACATATGAGGGATGTTCGCTATCTATAAGGTGTGATATTACATAACAAAACCCAAGTGGTCAATACCAGGCGATGTAAAGCTGTCAGCTATAAGATGGGATAGTAGATAGAAGGCACAAGTGGTCCACACATGGACATTTGAGAGCTGTTAGCTAGAAGGTGTGATAGTGAAGAAGGCCTGATTGGTCTACGCAGGCAAAGTGTAACTGACAACTAAAAGGTTTGAAACAGGCCCAAGCAGTCCATACAGGGATATTGAAGAGCTCTAATGTATATGGCGTGCTAGTAATAAAACAATCCCAGGTGGCTCTTTGAGGGACAGAAGAAACTGTTTGCACAAGGCGTAATTGCACGTAGCGATCTATCAACATACGACGTGATTCGTTAGGCAATTAGTTTCTTATATATAACTACAAGCCCGTCCCATCAATTTCATCAGGGGCGTTTTCATCTATCATACTTATGTCGGAATTTATGATGATATAAATGTCTTCAATAAACCTTTGATTTGAATAATCACATATATGGCATACTAACTGTGCCTCATTTGTAAAACAAAAATGAGTTACATGTTTACCGAACACGTCTAAAAATAGGGTATTTGTGGAAACTACGAAAATGAAACGTGACAAATAACACCGTTAATGAGCGTTATTCTCAAAGTATTTAACATATTTTCCGAACACGTCCATCAATGATACGGGTATTTGTGGAAACTATGAAATGCAAAGTGAGATATCACTGCAAGCAATATATAAAAACCGACTTCATTATTATTTTGATAAACAAAATAAAATAAAGACATTTTTATTCCCAGTTCACCGAATAAGTATATAATATTAGACTACCGCCATAAATAATTGAAATTAGTTGAACGTTACGTGTTGATGGCTGTTTAAAAAGAAAAATATATTTCATCAAAATAAAAAAGGAAGATAAATTATATAAAAACATTCAGCTATATTGATTGAATTCAAGCGCTTATTATTTGCAGCACTGTTAAATAAACCGTATGATTGAACCGAACTGTTTAAAATGTATCAGATTATTGAGCTCGTTTAATAAGTTCAATATGACATGGACACTCATGTAACACTCCCTATTTATCAATATTATCATATGTCTCGAGATGAATAGTAAAAATAAATTAAGTTAAGTTGATATATTTGTAAGCATGGTTTTTCATTTTTACCAGAGGAAAACAAATGTAAATGGTGATTTATATTTCTACAGTACTTAGGGAACGAGCACTTTAGCCATGTCCTTGTACTATAATGCTAAACTTAATTAACACCTTAACAACACATGTGAGGACCGACAAGGAAATAGCTTTAGGATATTTTCGACACGCACTCTTTGCGCCAAACATTAATATGTCATCAATATGACTACCCTGACAAACGTTTCTGTTTAATTTAAGAATCAGAAGAAGGTTACCTTGATTGCGTCCTTATAGTCAAATTGCGCTAAAGATGTGAAGAAATAACAGACTGATACAAAATAACCTTTAGATAATACATTTGCGCTCTCTTGATATATATCTTATTCATAATGGGATATACCTTAGACAATACGTCGCTCTCTATATGATGCACCACTCGTTGATCGTGACATCGTAAGAATTGTGACATGATGATGATGTCATTACATTTGTGACAAACCACTGTAAAGATGCATGTTCTGTAATCTTAGATGTCACAATGTATATTTTAAACAAAGTATGATGTCAATTTGTTGACAGACAATATGTCTTAAAATGTGTCTACTGAGTTGTTGTACATTTGCATCTTAGGAAATAATTATAAGTGGAAAGTGACTTGCATTTATATACATTTTATTAAGCTAACAAATACCACGCTAATTAATACGAATATATATTAATTAAATAAATTAAAACTACCTAGTATATGCATATGCATTATTGTAGTCACATCGAGACTGTCAAGTCATAGGTCAGGCAGGGTCATCAGATAGTACTGATGCGGTAACAATTCATACGAGTTCTTTATTTCAACGAAACAATGTATAATCAATAATGTATAATCAATAATATATAATCAATAATGTATAATCAATAATGTATAATCAATAATGTAATCAATAATGTATAATCAATAATGTATAATCAATAATGTTTAATCAACAATGTATAATCAACAATGTATAATCAATAATGTATAATCAACAATGTATAATCAACAATGTATAAACAATAATGTATAATCAATAATGTGTAATCAACAATGTATAATCAATTATGTATAATCAATAATGTATAATCAGTAATGTATAATCAATAATGCATAACCAATAATGTATAATCAATAATGTGTAATCAACAATGTATAATCAATAATGTATAATCAATAATGTGTAATCAACAATGTATAATCAATAATGTATAATCAACAATGTATATTCAACAATGTATAATCAACAATGTATAATCAATAATGTATAATCAATAATGTATAATCAACAATGTATAATCAATAATGTATAATCAATAATTTATATCACTTACGATAGTTGTCATTGAATTGAGTTAAGTGACCTCAGTTATTTGCATGAATGATATACAAAAATGTATATGATTGATCGAAAAAACCGACACATCACAACAATACAAAACATGCCTATGGGAAGCTCAATATGGAAAGATGTAAATCATTAGTAAAGGTCAATATTTTTTTATTATCCATTCGGGGCTCCAATCAATCTTCACTGTCAATCGTGTTTACCTATATATACGGAAGCTTGAGTCCGACTAGGAACTTTTTCGCCATGGCGGTTTCGTTGGCTGGCATCGCTTGTGTAGGATTAACTATCTTCCTGACGCAACGTGAGTAGTGTTCTTACGTATATCTCCTTCGAAACAAAAGGGTTTTACTCTCGATATACGTACATCTTCTCTACCCACCAGGAACATGCCATGACAAAATCGAAGGCTCTTTACGAAACACCTAGCAGATGGTATAAGTAGACTAATCTGATGAAGATTAAAAGGGAATCACGCGGTACCGTAATACTAAATTCGACAGGCTTTGAGGTTCGGTAGAGCTCCTCTGTGATGTTTAAAGGAAAGGTATCAGTCTAATGATTGGTCCAGTATAATACCATCAAAAAGATGGGCGCCTTCGATTTTGTCATGACATATTTCAAGGGTACAGAAAAGAGATCGGTATCTAAAGCAGAAGCCTTTGATTTCGACGACGCATGCGTATCCGTGCAACTTTATTGTTAGTTTAAACACATTGAATACGAGATAAATATGAAACTGCATATATTACCTCTGTGGTGTTTCTCAAGATAAAGATCCTCTGTTGTTAAAATATGGTAGTATTGCTTTAAATATCTTCTGTGAATTTGAAATAAAACGAAAAGATTTTATTTATTCTACAATAAATCAAAAGCACTACATGTATCTAAAACCATATTCATCGTGATAAAATGTACTGGCCAGTTAATATTATTTTACTTCATTAACAAGCATAAAACTTAATGGCCTCGGAATTTACATAAATAACTGTTAAAGCGTGAGATATCAACAAACTTAACCAAGAGGTTATTTAGAGATTATTAAACTTAACAAAGAGGTTATTTAGAGATTATTAAACTTAACAAAGAGGTTATTTAGATATTATCAAACTAAACAAAGAGGTTATTTAGAGATTATCAAACTTAACAAAGAGGTTATTTAGAGATTATCAAACTTAACAAAGAGGTTGTTTAGAGATTATCAAACTAAACAAAGAGGTTATAAAGAGATTAAAAACTTCTCAAATGGGCTATATTGGGCTTTCAACCTTTTTATTTTATATAACCATAGAAACCTGCGAAACAGTAGTGTAAACCAATATGGATTGCCATCTTTTGGGTCCCTACCGATGAGTCCAAGGAGGAAGAAAACATATATGAAAAAGCTATATGATATATACTGTGTATATTACCAAATTGTATAGGGGCTATCGATGTGTGTGTTACATACTGTGTATATTACCAAACCGTATGGGGGCTATCGATGTGTGTATTACATACTGTATATACTACCAAACTGCATAGGGGCTATCGATGTGTGTGTTACATACTGTGTATATTACCAAACTGTATAGGGGCTATCGATGTGTGTATTACATACTGTATATACTACCAAACTGTATAGGGGCTATCGATGTGTGTGTTACATACTGTATATATTACCAAACTGTATAGGGGCTATCGATGTGTGTGTTTCATACTGTATATATTACCAAATTGTATAGGGGCTACCGATGTGTGTGTTACATACTGTGTATATTACCAAAATGTATAGGGGCTATCGATGTGTGTATTACATACTGTATATACTCCCAAACTGTATAGGGGCTATCGATGTGTGTGTTAAATACTGTATATATTACCAAATTGTATAGGGGCTACCGATGTGTGTGTTACATACTGTGTATATTACCAAATTGGATAGGGGCTATCGATGTGTGTGTTACATACTGTATATATCACCAAATTGTATAGGGGCTATCGATGTGTGTGTTATATACTGTATATATTACCAAATTGTATAGGGGCTACCGATGTGTGTGTTACATACTGTGTATATTACCAAAATGTATAGGGGCTATCGATGTGTGTATTACATACTGTATATACTACCAAACTGCATAGGGGCTATCGATGTGTGTGTTACATACTGTATCTATTACCAAATTGTATAGGGGCTATCGATGTGTTTGTTACATACTGTGTATATTACCAAATTGTATAGGGGCTATCGATGTCTGGTATATGTTAACATTCCATTAGTCACTCTCAAGTACAGGAATTATAGAACAAAGGGACTATACTGTAGGGGTTAGCTAACGGATTAACGTTAACAATGAGGTAATATAAATAAAATTAAAGTAAAACTAGCGATACTGCTATGGGAAAATATAGCTAACAGTAAGAAGTTCTAAAATATATATTCAATATGACACAATTAACAACACATAATTACATTATTTATATAAATTTAATTATCAAGTCTTAACATACAGCCTTTTCACAACAGATGTACGTTAACGCATATTAAGCATACTTCAAGATATCATAGACAAAAAAAATTGCACCTGAACAAAACATTTTGTATATACAATATTTATATATATAGCGCCCTAGATAATTTGTAAAATTACTCTAAAGCGCTTTATAACATGTGGATAATAGTATTATTTATAACTTTTAAACAAAAAAGGCTTACAATCACCTTTATACATTAAGCAAGAAGATAACCATCTCAATGTGCGCATAAATTAATAAATAAAGGATTGTATGTTTATATTTTAAATATATTACACATAAAATATAATACAATGATACGTTTTTACAGCATTATAATACAATACAATCATAATACTTGGATAATACAATGAACTCATATAACAAAATAAATATATAAATTACAGCCAGATATTCAGTTTGCAAATTTAAGATAAGAAATTGCAGGCCCGGGCAATTGTACAAATTATTACCTTTCAAATCGAATAGCATCCTAAATACACAATACAGTATTGTCTTTAACGTACGTAGTTATTATCTATACAAAAAAGACATATAAATGAAATATCAGAGCTTACTGATGCTGCAAAATAAGCCTAGCTCAGATTTAAATCAATTATTTGACATTGAACATATTTAAAGAACCTTTCAAAATCGATACTTAAGTGTCTCAAATCATGAGATAAGTGTAATAGAAAACAAGAAATTTTGCTATATCTATCTTAATCGTCAGTTCTTTTTATCGTTGTAGATGTGTCTGGGCTCGGCCCGAACGCGCTGCCTTTACAGGATGCCTTCGTATCTTCCCTGGCACCACATCAGAACAGCTTGAGAGCCGACGGACTACAGTCTAGTACCGTTCACGGTCTATTGGAGCATTTGCTGCCGGTCAGTGGTGCCAATGGTATAGACCCGTCTCTCGGTAGGCCGGCCTTTATACAAACCGATCAAGCACCGATTCTCCTTCCTATTGACGGCCGTGGTGCTGGACAATTCTTACCGTTTTTACCTCCACCTCCTCAAGTTGGAGAATTAGAAATTGGTCGAGATAGTGGACTGCCAGTTATTCAGCGTGGATCTCAGAGTATCGGTAAACATCTTTTGAGGGAAAGGCTTAGAAATCAACTCCGTAGTCTCACCCACAGGAAAACTCATAGGAACCGAAATGTTAGAAATAATAGGACTGTGTCGGCTAGGAAATACAAATCATACAAAAAACGAGTTATGCTTGCGAGAAAAAACCGGCTTTTGAGAAAGCTGAAGAAACTCAGGCGGCGCAAGTACCTCCGAAACCTCAACCGCAAGAGGAAAATTGCCCGCGAATATGGCAGGTTAACTAAACGAGGCAAAGCCTATTATCCCAAAACCTTGAATAGGGTGAGAAGTCTGTATCCGTAAGATGAAAAGATCCCTCAAAACTGACCAATGGTCTGGAAGGCTACAAGCAAAGAACTCTTCAAAATCGTTATTGTAAGGATTGAAGTTGTTTCGCAAAATCCTATGGATGTACCTTAGATTTTAGAATTACCACTGACATGAATGATGATTATCAATATTTATACCAGATCAACGTACATCACACAGATTCATGTTAAAATGATTTTGTCTTAATTATCCTTTGACGCGAAATATAGTCATGTTGAGTTGAACTGAAATTATATGAAAAACAAAATTGTCATAAAACATAATTTTCCCAAAGCAAGGACAATTTTGTAAAACAAATTACTGAAAAGAAAAGCAAAAAAGTATACGCCATAATAAATGGAATTCGAAGAATTTGTCGTTTTATTTATTGCCTATAAAACTTAATTTTGCACGTGAATATGAGGGGCTAAACATCAGTTATGCTTAAAATCAAAGAAGATGTATTAAGGCAAAATAACTCTCTTGAAACCTTGATGTGTTATATAGAACATCAAAAACGTATTTTATTACAACAGACCCTGGGGCATCATAGTTGAAAAATATAATATACCCAATAGACCCTTTAATCCTTACAATAACAACATATTGTCAGTGCAAAAAGTTGGAGAAACATTGAAATTGCTGACTTAAATAGTAAGTGTTTTTATGAGGAATTTTAGAAATAATTTCATGGCAAGAAAGAAATATATCACTGATGAATGTAATTTTAACATGAGAGCACAACTGCATCGGAATCGGTCTAGGCTTAGAGTTGTCATCTAGAAATCATAACGAACGAAGCTAACTAGTTCTCGATGGCCAATTATCTACAAACATCATTTCCATTTACGTGTTTCCTGTTTTTTTCTATTTCTAACAAATATGATAAATAACATTTTAAAAAAATTGACGAATATTACGGGCCGCGGTGGCCAAGTGGTTAAGGCGTCTGACATTCTGCTACCACTAGTCCTCCACCATAGAGTCGTGGGTTCGAGACCTACGTGGGGCAGTCGCTAGGCCCTGGCTGTAGGTCGGTGGTTTTCCTCCAGGGACTCCGGATTTCCTTCACCACCAAAACCTGGCACGTTCTTAAATGACCAAGTCTGTTAATAGGACGTAAAACAAAAACAAACCAAAAATCTAACGAATATTTTACGCTACAAGTTGGTTGACACTGCTAGTGGACTTTCATCCCCGACGCTGGCCGCAGTACTCAGATTTGGCATGTTGTGCGTATTAACTAGTTTAAGTGTAATCTATCTGTTGTAGCCTAAGGTTGTAAATTTGTAACGTTAAATTTAAAGGGTTTGCAAGGGAGCCTTGTCTTTTTAGCTATATTTAACATGTATCGGAACTCTTTAAACACACACTTTTCATTACCTTGACATTTAGAACCATTGAAACAAATGACGCCAGATGGTACAGGAAATGTTTGGAAGTGTTTCTAGTGATTGCATAAGACGGAGCAATCCCGCTATACGCATATACCCTTTCACTAAGTCTTGGTACGGCATTGTAGAGGGAAACTATTACGATACCAGACCGACAAGGGTTTGAACCAAAGGCCTTAGAACTCTAGACACAAGCCAACCAACTGAGCTATCTGACCATCGGTAGTTATTTGTCCCATTCTAACTACAGAAATATAGAAAGTGTTTAGGAGATGACAGAGTTTTGAAAATCCTGTCAACATTTTATAAACACGTGTCTGATCTCAGGGCTGATGCTGTGCTACGTCATCATGATCCATCACGCGCTATCTGTCATTGTTTTGTTTGGAATTGATTGTTTTATTTTTAATAGGTTTTTAAGTTTGCTAATTTTGATAAACACAAAACTTTACGTAAACATGTTGTCTATTTCTTTGAAAGTATACTTATATGTTTAATTGGCAGATATTTTTAAATATTCACATTTCCTTCACATTGTATTGTCATTTTGGATTGCTTATATAGACTCAGATGTTTACTCTTTAGAAATATGCGTTGATGATCGATGTACAGACTATAGTTCAAGATAGACATCAGCATAATGCCAGAAAGGTAGCTAACACAAAAACATTATTAATGTATATTTTATGTCTTTATTTGTAATATAAAGAAAACACAAAAAGACAGTTTTTAATTTTCCAGTTAGAAGTTTAAGGGAAACATCAACATCAAACATTGGGTCATGGACACAATCACCGAGCTCTACCTTGTCTTGTTGTTTACCTCGTCTTGTTGTTTACCTCGTCTTGTTGTTTATCTCGTCTTGTTGTTTACCTCGTCTTGTGGTGCACATTGTCTTGTTGTTTACCTCGTCTTGTTGGTTACCTCGTCTTGTTGGTTACCTCGTCTTGTTGTTAATCTCGTCTTGTTGTTTACCTCGTCTTGTTGTTTACCTCGTCTTGTTGTTTACCTTGTCTTGTTGTTTACCTCGTCGGGTTGTTTACCTCGTCTTGTTGGTTACCTCGTCTTGTTGTTAACCTCGTCTTGTTGTTTATCTCGTCTTGTTGTTTACCTCGTCTTGTTGTTTACCTCGTCTTGTGGTGCACATTGTCTTGTTGTTTACCTCGTCTTGTTGTTTACCTCGTCTTGTTGTTTACCTTGTCTTGTTGTTTACCTCGTCGGGTTGTTTACCTCGTCTTGTTCGTTTACCTCGTCTTGTTTGTTTACCTCGTCTTGATGTTTACCGTGTCGGGTTGTTTATCTCGTCGGCAGCATCACATTCTGCGTTCGTTGATCTGTTGCCACTTTTTGTCTTTTTCAGCGATATGCTCAGAATGTTGTGCTTATTTTTGACGAGATAATTCATGTGAAGTCTTTCAAAATCAGACGGCAGTATGTTCTTAACCAAAGCAACCGTAATCGCCAGCCTTGGCAGGGGAGTGATTAGGAACTTCGCCGGTAAATGAACTCTCTCCCTATGACAACGGTAAAAACGCGGACGTATTTCTGTCTGAACTATTTCATATTTAAAAACTTAATCTTTCAAAGGAAACAATTAGAACAATACATCGTGATCATTTAGGTTTGTTTTTCATTTATGTAAAATAGTATTTCTGGATATAGTAATATCACCGTTACCGACGGTGTTTATATGTCACAGATAATTCGGTATTAAAGGCTTGTTTAGAATAATAATAATTGCGATTGTTTTGTTTGTGGTTAACGCCCTATTAAAAGCTTTGATTATTTACGGACGTGCCAGATTTTGGTAGTGGAAGAAAGCCGGAGTGCCCAGAAAAACCCATCGACTGCTCTACGTAGGCCTCGAACCATCGATGACGGTCAGACCCCTTTACCACTTAGCTCCGCGGCCCCAAACTATGATTTTCATGATAGATGTCGATTGCTGAGGGACAAACTTACAACGTAATATATTTAAAAAAAATGAACAATCACTATACAGATACGAATATTTTACAACGAGGCGTCAAGAAATAATTGTTACGAATAGTCAACGAGTGCCAGATAAAACAATACTTTTCTATATCTTTTCATTAACATAAGATTATCGCTTTTTAAAGTGGGAACAGCGACAACATGTCTTTTGTACTACAATTGAACAGTATTCCTTTCGGTGAAATTTGAAAAAATCATATTCTCAAGAGTTGAATTAGTTGTTTACAAATTTCTCTGTTTTTACATTTACCTCTTTTAGTATTAGGTTTTAATTGTCCCCAGCGTAAACAGGGCATGGTTTTTCCGTCTAATGGTGACAAATGTTTCAGGAATTCTGTCTCTGAGAAAGGGAATATGAATATATTTTAATCAATCAAACAGTTCATTTATAGAATATTTTAGTAAATAGTATGTCAAAATCGATCATTTCCCGAAATTCCATATTACACACAAATGTACTTTATTTCCTTTATTTATATTCGTTTTTTAATCGTTATTATCTATACGAACACGCTAGTAAGTCTGGTAGACTGCGTGATGATCACGTCGCAAGCAACTTTAAAATGAATATTGTCTGAAGGGTTGGAGAAGTGTCACGGATGCTCAAACCGGACCGCATTATGTAAGTAAAGTCAATACGCCCCGCAAATTTTATTATTAAGTATATGCGTGGTTTCTCGGACAGGTAAGCGTCGAGATCGTTAACTGAAATAACGAAAATAAGCTATATTTATATTTTAATGACGTAAATACTTAACCAACACGTCACTCAAAGTGAGAAGACAATGGAACTAATTGAGGCGCATGCGCAGTAGTTACACATGTTGTTGTCACGCATTGGATACGTCACAGGAAGAGAGTAGGAAACATGTACATCTTTGTGTTCTGACATCATTCGTGATAAGGTAGGTGACATAATATGTGTTTTCTATAAGCTGTGTGGTTTCCGACCAGTGAAGTATGTAATGGCGGTATTATTGATGACATGGTGTGGTGGACAGGCCCTCAGTGAGATAAACCGTTACATCATACGGTCGTAATGGATTGTAAAGGATTCGGTTGAGGAACTGTACCACAGTTTAAAATACGGAGGCCCATGTGCACAATGTTGATGTACACTTTAAGATATTGCGGGGAGTACAGATGGACAGTAGCTATATATCCCATGATTAAAGCTACGTTAGTACAGCCAGAGAAATTGGTTTAATCATGACTAGAAAATAAAAACCAAACTCCTCTTAATTAATACTAGAATATGTAATGGAGATTTATTATCAAAAATCATGCTATGTAAAAGTATGTAAAGATAGATAAACACGTTTGAAAACCTGATATATAACGTCTAAGGTACATACATCAGCATTTCTTATGACAAAACATAAGTACACATTAGATAGGTAATAATGAAATTATATTTTTAAAATATACCTATTACAGTAACAAGCCATGACTCGTCTACTAGATAAACGAACTACTTGGAAGTGCCGCGGACGTAAAACCAACCAAACAAACAAACAATATTACGAAATATAACAAACCCCGCATATCTTATAATAATGACGAGATATATCAAGACATATAGGTAAAATAACAGTAGCAACTCCACATATAGGTATAGTACAGAGACATAACCATATAATGGACCGAACACCAAAATAATTTCTATACTGCTTATATAATTTGGTGTTCCGTCGAGATGTTTTTCTTCATTGGACATTATACCTTCTATGTAACTGTGTCATTACTGTCCCTAATATTGTGAAATCACTCTCTTTTGTGATGCTTTTAATTTCGTTGATTTCGTTGGTTATCTTCGTCCACAAATGCATAGGTCCACGAAGTAAGGACAAGCTTGACATAAAGCGATACTCCGTTTTAGTCGTTGCTCATTACCAACGTATTCATGTGCCCACGAAATGCTGCTTTTTCGGGAAGACACGAAGTTAGGGCCTCAAGAAAATGTCTGATTTCACAGT